AAGAGTGTTTGACACACTTGTATGTGTGCATGTAAAGTGCTGTCAAGTTACAGCTAACTTATGGCAACACCAGCAAAGAGCGTTAAGGCAAATGAGAAGCAGAGATAGCTTGCCACTGCCTTCCTCTGCAGAGACTTCCTTGTGGTCTCTCTTCCAAGTATCGATTCTGCTTAGCTTAGTACCGACTCTGCAGTTGCCAGATCTGCATTTTTCCATCTTAGGCAAATCAGGCTACTGAAGCCCTATCCCCCCCCCCCAAGACCTAGCAATGGTGCCCCTTGCGATGGTCACTTCCAGACTTGATTGCTGCAACTCGCTCTATGCAGGCTTACCCTTGAAGCTGATCCAGAAATTACAACTGATGCAGAATGCGGTGGCGCACCTGCTGACACCAATGCCTGTGCGGGCTCACATTAGGAACGTGCTCCACCAACTGCATTGGTTGCCAGTTGAGTACTGGATTTGCTTCAAGGAGCTGGTTTTGACCTTTAAAGCCATATACTGCCTAGGACCAACATATCTAAGGGACCGCCTCTTCCCATATATGTGTTTTAAACTGAAATTTTATTTTATTTTATTTATTTTTTCAATTTATACCCCGCCCTCCCCGCCAAGGCAGGCTCAGGGTGGCTTACATAAAAGTAAATACATGAATAACAATTAAATAACTTGTGCCAATCCCACCCTCTGGGAGGAATGTAGGAGAATCTCTTGATTCCTGTATTAGAGAAAGGAGATAGCTAGAAGCTAGTCCTGCTGTGGTGCAAGGACTTGGAGATTCATACCCAAGATGGCCAGGGAGCTCAGCAAAGTAATTTGCATAAACCCTGCCCAAGAAGCAAATTGGGGGCAGGAAAGGATGCTTTCCTCTACTGGTGGAAAATGGTCTGCCACAAAGCTGTGAACAGAAACTGGTCAAATCCCAGACATTAAGTAGTATGAATGCACACTGGGCTGTGTAGAACCTGAATCCCAGGTATGCCTATGGCTTGCCAGAGCACTGCTGCCTATGGCAGAAAAGACAAAAGCCGGTTTTAGATAATTGCATTTATTATAATTGTAAATTGTATTTCTTTTAATGATGTTACCCGCCCTGAGCCAACCTGCGGGATATAAATGCAAATAATAAATAAATAAATAAAAATTAAGATCTGAGATCTGGTTATACCATACAGAGAGCCAGTTTGGTATAGTAGTTAGGAGTGTGGACTGTAATCTAGGAGAACCATGGTTGATTCCCCACTCCTCCACATACAGCTGCTGATGTGAACTTGGGTCAGTCACAAATTCTCTTAGAGCTGTTCCCTCAAGATAAGTTCTCGAAAGAGCTCTCTCAACCCCACCTACCTCACAGGGTGTCTGTTGTGGGGAGGGGAAGGAAATTGTAAGCTGTTCTGAGACTCTGAATGATGGGCAGGATATCAATCCAATCTCTTCTTCTTCTGCCTTCCCTCCTTGACACACTTGTACACACAAAAGAAGAAGAGAGTGGATTTATACCCCGCCCTTCACTACCCAAAGGAGTCTCAGAGTAGCTTACAATTTCCTTTCCCTTCCCTTCCCCACAACAGGCACCCTGTGAGGCAGGTGGGGCTGAGAGAGCTCTCGAAAACGGCTCTGAAAAAACTTGTAACTGACCCACAGTCACACCAGCAGCTGAACTGTGCCATACTGAGTTCAGCATATTTTAACATGGGTTCTCCCTGATCTCATGATCCATTATTAGGAGTGGATGAGAACTCAAAACTCTTAACCAGTTGAGATTTCTCCATGAAAGGTATCATTTGACCAGTGCCTTGATATTTAAAGAAGTTAAGTAGACTTGTCTACAAACAGGCCATTTGATCTTGAAACATTCTGACTGGTTTTCTCAAGGATTAGAATGAAACTAATAATTCATTTCTAGAAGCAGGTGTAATGCTTCAAGAACAACCAGCTGTGTAGAATAGTTTCAGGGTGTTTTTTGGGGGGTTAATCATGGCCTAATGACTGATCTTGAAATTATAGTAAACAGATAGAAAGTTAATTGATGTATTAATTTGCTGTGTGACACACCATAGCATTCTTGTCTGCACTTTACAGATATTTTTAAACTATGTATATGATTTATTATTGCAATTAAGATCTTAGCAGTTTAGGAGGGTTAATTTGATACAAATCTAAATTATTCACAGATTTCCAAATAAATATGACAGGGTAATTTTGAATCTAATAAATACGGGCATTAGCGTTTAAATAAAAATGAGTGAAACACAGAAGGCAGATGAAATGCATGTCTGGAATAGTCAGCCCCAGTGCCCTAATGCGAATCTTTGCATACCTTTATAGATTTGGAACATGCTGGAGGTATAACGATGCACTGGCCGGAATGGGGCAGTGGTTGCGGTCCCACACAATAAACAATCCACTTTCAATCCACTTTTGGTGCACTTCCAAATGGATTTTACTGTGTGACCTGGCAAAGTCCAGTTGGAAAGTGCATTGAAAGTGTATTGAAAGTGGATTGTTCAGTGTGCCAGTGCTTGCCATGTCTCTATTCAGTGTGTAAATGGCAATGTTGGCAAGGAAGATTATAAGCAAGGATTAAGCAGAGTACCGTGGAAAGCTTACCATCTCAGACTAGAGAAAACAAACATTAAAACTTGGATACAGACTAGTGTTTCTGCGAGAGCATTGTCGGGACATTTCAGGGTGCCACAGGAAGCGGGAAAACTGTACTCTGAGGGTCGAAAACTTTGTTGCTGAGGAAATGCTAGCCTGGATCCAAGCCAACATAACATGAAAGGCACAGAAAATAATTTTTAAAAAATATTTCAAAGCATGATGTGTTACTAAACATCTTTCACATGTGTTTCTCAGATTTCGCAGCAGCCTATCACCAGTGAATGTCCATAAATGACGTTAAAATGCTGTGTTTCTTTTCCTAGCCTCCTCCTTTGTTCAAACCGTATCACTGATTGTTAACAACTTCAAATATGTTCTGCTGTTTATAAAACATTTACCATATACTAGGCATGACTTCTGAAATAACACTTTCTGTGGGTTCATTTTTAAAAATATGTATCTATTTTTTCTTGTGACAAGACCAGCATTCACAAGTTTGAGCACTTCAACAGATCTTGGAGAGGGAGAAGTTCTTTAGATAGGGCACTTTCCGCCTTTCCTCCAGAAAGATAACAGCGAAATTTCAGAGGAACTAAGCAGGGCATACACTCATCTGGATGAATGCACATCAGCTAGAAGGAAAGGAATATGAAGGCTACTAGTATGTCTTGGCTCACTCTTTTTCCCCACTGGTTACTTCAGATACAGGGAAACAGAAGTCAAGCATAAAGGCTGAGGGTGATACATGCTCCCTTAAGTTGGTTTGGTAGGGCATTAAAGATACCACAAACCCAATTCCTGCGGAGGTCTCTGTGCCCAGAAGTGTTTTCCCACACAATTTACATTTTAATAGACTTGGCACAGCTGGAAATAATATTTTTGGCTTTTGTTAATTCTGTGGAACACCAGTCTGCTGGGTCTATCCTCTTCACAATCATCATGTGGGAACTACTAAATCGCAGGAAGCTATGTAGTAGATGATCTGAAAACAGTTGCAACCCCACACTTGCTTATCCTGCCTGTTTTTCCACCTCTGAAGTTTACAAAAGAATATACCTGCATATCTTGTAAGAAATGAAGTTTGCAAATACATTCCATGTGATTTTTTGGAATTTGGAGGGTTTTCTTCCAAGCTTTATGCCTGTTTCTTGCATCAAAGATCTGTTGCTGTTTTTTAAAAATTGCCAGTGACAATGTTACCCATGATGCTATCTACCAGTTACAATGTTACTCATGATGCTTCAGGGACAGATCTACAAATTAAAGGAATTAAGCAATGGCTTAACAAAAACCCCTTGAAGTTCACATAGACCCAAAAAAAAAGTAGAAATGCCCACTGCAAGTAAATGCAGATATTATGTCACTGAAATACCT